TGGATGAGGGGAAGTAACTAGCCTGCTCTAACCGGAAGTGTGTCTTTTCTGAGCAGAAGCTGACAAGGGAGGATGTCCCACATGGCCGGTGGTGGTGTGAGCCGCAGTGTGGGCCTGTGGGGAGGAAAGGAACCTGACAGGAGTTTGGTCAGGGTGAGCCAGAGCGAGAAATGGGCAGCCACGGACACCTGGTCAAGGAAAAGATTAAGAGGTTATTCAAGGAGTTAAAGGCCTGATTTGTGGGTGACACAACTTGTTGTTGGAATTCCCCTCTGCACTCAAAGCTGATCCCTCATTTCACTGGGACATTGTTGTGCCCACAGTTGTTGGAACGGGGCCTGACCTTTGGTCAGGTTTTGATAAAAATATATTATTAAAATTTTTTTGAGATATAATTGACATATAACATCATGTAAATTTAGGTGTACAATGTATTGATTTGATACATGTTTGTGTGTGTGTATATATACATATATATGTACAAAAAATTATATACAATATTGCAATATAATTACCAGTAGCATTAGCTAACACTTCCATCAGGTCACATAATTTTCATTTATTTTTTGTGATTTGTTCTTTGTAAAAGAATACCCATGCCTGGTCCCCCCTCGTGTCTGCACATTCTGACTGTTGGTCTGGGATGGGGCTGGAATATTAACATTTTTTTAAAGCACCCAGATGATTCATATTAGAATTACTGATGTAATCACAAGTGAAGTATTAAAACATCTCTTTAAGGAGGGTTTGTTTTCTGAGCTATGACCCCTTCTGGCATTCTTTTTTCCCCCCATCAGCCTAAACCATTTCACCAGCCAAGAATGTGAAAAATGTGCCTCAAATATTTTCATTCCTATTTAATCCCATTTAATGCTTATTTAGCATTCATTGCCAGCAAGCAGGCAATCTATTACAGCCCATTTGAACACCTTACCAAGTTCAACCCCCTCCAGAGCTCCCCAAACTTACTCCCCTCCCATAAAATCCAAGTTTTTCTCAATATGAGATGAAGGAACAGAGGTCAAGAGGGGCCTGGCCCAGCAGCTCTTGTAGCCACAGTTCCAAAGGACAGCAGAGAGCTGTGGGAGGGAGCTAGGGAAGAGGTCACCAGATGCCCATTTAAAATGTGCTCTGGCTGCTAACTATGTTTTCCACTGAGCAGTCAGTACTGTATTCTAAAGACATGCAGCAAATCATGTTACCCCCCACCCCAGCTCAAAATCTCCCATCACACTTAAAATAAAATAGGAAGCCTTCACTGTAGCCCACAAGACCCCAACAACCTGCACCCCCTTATTCCCTCTTTAACTCCCTCACCTCCCATCCACCCCCTGTCTTACTCTGCTCCAACCAATGGCCCCTGGCCCCCCTTCTCAAACATATGCCAGCCTCAGGGCCCTTGCACTTGCTATTCTCTGCTTGGAGCATCCTCATCTTCTTCATTTCATGACTGACTCCTTGTCACTCAGATTGCTACTCACATGTCACATCCTCAAAACCTACTGGCTTAAAACAGTACATGTGTATTATTATACAATAGTTTCTGTGGATTAGGAATCCCGCAGGGGTGGCTTAGCTGGAGGATTCTGGCTCAGGGTCTCTTATGAGGCTTAGGCTGGAGCTGTGGTCATCCAAAGACGTGATGGGGGCTGGAGGGTCCATTTCCAAGGATGTTCCCTCACATGGCTGGCAACCTGGTGCTGGCTTTGGCTGGGGGTCTCAGTTCCTTTCCACATGGGCCTCTCAACAAGGCTGCTTGAATGACTTCACAGTATGGCAGCTGGCTTCCCACAGAGAAGGTGACCCAAGAGAACAAGGTGGAAGTTGTGATGTCTTTTATAACTCAACCTTGGAACTCACACTGTGTCACTTCCACTTATTCTATTGGTCACCCAGACCAGTCCTGATTGGTCATGGGAAGCTGCCACACTCTTATCATTTTCTACTCCCTCACCTTGATTTGTTTTTTTCATGGATTTAACATGGATTTATTCCTTTGCTGCTCTTCCCCAATAGTATCATGTCTGTAGGGACACTGTCATTTTTTCTGTTTAATTCACAGCTATATCCTCAGTGTCGCAGAGCTTGTAGATAATAGAAGCTCAGTAAATAATTGCTGAACTAATGAAATGGAGAATCTAGTTTGGGGGGAGGGCTTGTTTTACTCTCCTCTTTGGGATTTTTGAGATTTTGCAAAAGTTCTACATTAAGCAACCCAAGTTTTGTTTGTTTTTGTATTTATTTGGTCATTGGAATTAAAGTTTTTGACAAAAACTACAAGTCCCGGCAGAAAGTGCGCCTCTGACCTCTGAAGACCAGCCTTTCCCCGGCCCAATGAGCTCTGGGAGTCGCAGTCTAGCGGCAGAAGCAAGGTGGCCCGCGCAGTGCCGGCACAGATGACAGAGGAGGGTATCATCGCCATTCTGACCAATGGACAATGAGCACCGGGTCTGAGTGGCGCACCCATACCCAACGGGTGAGCCCTTAAGCCTGAGTGACATGTACTTTAGCCTACGGACGGCCCGTAGGGCGGGGCGGGGCGCGGCAGCTGTAGTGCGAACCATGGGAGGCGGCTGGTGGTGGGCTCGGGCCGCCCGCCTGGCCCGGCTCCGCTTTCGTGGGGCGCTGCTGCCGCCTCCGCGGCCCCGGAGCGGGGGCGCCAGAGGATCATTCGCCCCCGGCCACGGCCCCCGCGCCGCGACTTCGCCGCCCCCTGTGTCCGAGCTGGACCGCGCGGACGCCTGGCTCCTCCGAAAGGCGCATGAGACAGGTCCGGGGTTGGGGCTGGGGTCTGCCCGGGTAGGAGAGGGGGCTCCGGATAGCTGAACTGTCGATGCGCACGAATGGGGGTTGGGGGTGGGGCTTCTGCTGGAAACAGGCCCTGGCTCAGCAGGCAGAAGGGCTTCCGTACAAGCCCAGAGAGAAGCGCTGGCTGCAGAGCGCAGTCTGTCCGCACAGAAGGGCTTGCGGATGGGACTTTGGTTCGGATAGCGGGGGGCAGCAGGGCCGGAGAGCTTGGTCGGGCTAGGACAGGCAGCCTTATAAATTGGGCTGTCTCCATGTGAGAGCTTCCACAGAGTGCTAAAGGAGGGGGAGTTGCCTAGGAGAGGGGTCCACGATGGAGTGGCCAGCTCGCATTGTAGAGGCGACCCCTCTGCTGAAGGCGGGAGTGTGGATCCCCACACTAGAGGGGGGAACTTCCCCATTGGGGGAGGGAGCAACCAATGGAAGGAAAGCTCTGAACTGATTGGAGGGCGAGGTGATCTAGGCTGCTGGGGGGAGGGGCCTTAACGGGTGGGAGGGTCCGGCTTGGAGAAGGGGCCTTCCAGACAGGATGGGGTAGAGGTGCAGGGTTGGCACCTGACTATCTCGTTAGCTCCACCCCGGGGACTTGACTGGCTGTGAGTGACTTAAGGAAGGACATTCGCAATAGCAGATAGTGGCGTTTGAGGAAAACTGAAGGGGGAGGCCAGAGAGATACTGGGGCGGGGACAGTGTGTGCCGCAGGTCTGAGAAAGGAGCGAGCAGTCGGCCCGTGGGGATGCGCCCCTTGGGGGGGCGTTGACCAAGATGACCTCTTGGCCTCTGTCCTCAGACTTAGGTTCTGCAATTTCGGTCTTAGATTCTCCTCCAAATTCTGCTGATTGTCTTGAATGTTCACTGGTGCAGAGTTTGGGGGAGAGGTGCTCAGATGGAGACGAGAGAGGGCTTTGGGGGTAAGGTTTGGTGGGGGCCGCCAGCGCCAGGTGGGAATTTGGGGCGAGATGGGGTGGCAGGGTGCGGAGAAGCCCCTCAGTGTGACTGTCTGGGCCGGGGGAGCTTGAGGGCAGGCTTTGAACTGATGCTGGTCCCCCCCTGCCCCCAGCCTTCCTCTCCTGGTTCCGCAACGGCCTCCTGGCATCGGGCATCGGGGTCATCTCCTTCATGCAGAGTGACATGGGCCAGGAGGCAGCCTATGGTGAGTGTAGTTCCCTGCTCTCGCCCCGACCATTCTCTCCCCTCCAGGGAAGGAGGGCCCACCCTCCCTGGTAAGGGGGGGTACCCTCCTGCCCCATCCCACCCACCCCATAGTGAGTGTAGAAGCCCCCACTCTTTCTCCACCCAAAGCCACCTCACCCCCACTTGTGAGTGATGACCTTCCACCCGCCCAACCCCACCCTGTGGGCACCGGCCCCATGACTTGGGAAGGGCATGGCTGAGGGTGCTCACCCTCTCCAGCCTGACTTCTCAGCAAAGATGCAGGTCCTAGGCCCAGGCCCTTGTGGGGGCCTGACCTGGGGCCCTGGCTCCACCTCTGGCCCTCCCACCCAGTCTTGGCTGTCAAACCAGGTTCCCCACCCTCCTGTGTTCCTGGACCCAGCCTCCAGGTCCTAGACACCCACTCTGATACCTTCTCATGCCCCTGACCTTGGCTCCGTACTGCCTCTGACCCCTGCTCTCCCCTTGAGTGTGCCCATACCCATTCTAGCCCCATCTCAGTCCCTGGCCCTGGCCTTCCGCCACCCCACCATAACCACAGCCTGGGCCCCAGCCCTCCCCTCCATTGACCGTGACCTCCGCCCTCTCCTACAGGCTTCTTCCTGCTGGGCGGCCTGTGTGTGGTGTGGGGAGGTGCCTCCTACGTGGTGGGCCTCGCAGCGCTGCGGGGACCCATGCAGCTATCGCTGGGGGGTGCAGCCACAGGCATTGGGGCCGTGCTGGCTGCAGGCCTGCTCTGGGCTTGTGCTGTTGGCCTCTACATGGGCCAGCTGGAGCTGGATGTGGAACTGGTGCCCGAGGATGATGGGACGGCCACGGCAGAAGGCCCGGATGAAGCGGGCCGGCCACCTCCGGAGTGAGCAGCAGGGTGGTGGGGAATGGCCAGGTGCTGGACAGCTTGGGCAGAGGACCGGGACATTAAAGACTGACCATTCCCTGCTGCATATTCCTAGCGGTGGTTCCTGTGACCGGGGAGGCTGGGCTCGGAGGGGGTGGAGCAGGAGGAGGGGAGGGGCGGTGGCCCGGGAGGCGACAAAGGCAGGAAGAAAGAGAAAGAAATGGAGAGAAGCTCCTTGACCCCCAGAGACCAAGCCAGAGATGGAGTGCAGGTGTTTATTCCAGGAAGAGCTGAAGGGGCTGAGAGCCCCGCCCTCTTGGGTTCCCCGCCCATCCCCAGGTTCCAGCTCTGTAAGCAGCTCACTCAGTCCTCAGTCCCCCTTCCGCTGCACCCTGGTGCCTGTGGGCCCCTGGTACGGCAGGCCCAGGGGGGGATAGAAGGCCCCGGGGAGCGTGGGGCCCGGGCCCAGCCTCTGCAGGTGCGGGTATATGAGGCCCAGCTCTGTGGGGCCATAGCGGATGGTGCCAGGTGTGCACAGGCCCCGCATGACTGGGGGCAGGAAGCCCGTGTGGAAGAGGGACGGCGGGGGGTCCCCGGGAGGGGCCAGGCCCCACGGCCGCACCAGGTCCTGCTTCAGGACGCCTGCCCTGATGACAGAAGTAAACTCAGGCCGAGGCAGGGCTGGGTGGCCAGACGGCTCCTCATCTCCACTGTCTTCTGGGTCTTTAGTCTCCCCTGGGCCAGGCTCCACTTTGATGGGTTTGCCCCTGGCCCCAGGGGCTTTGTCCTTTTCCAGGGGGGCAGTTAGCTTCCCTTCCACCAAAGGCTCTGGCTCTGGAAGAGGAAGATTCAGAAGGCGCCGTGTGCGTCCCTGGCCCTCTGTCTTCCCATCTGTGGAATGAAGCTGCGCCCAGTCTAGACATACGGGCTCAGCTGGGGCGGATTTGTCCCCCAGGGGATGTGTGGCAGTGCCTGGAGACATTTTTAGCGGTCACACCTGGGGAGGAGGGTGCTCCTGGCAGCTAGCGGGTAGGGGTCAGGCTGTTGCCACATACCCACAGTACTCAGGACAGCCCCAGGGCTAGGAATGATTGGTCCCCGAGTGGGGACTGAGAAAGCCTGTCCAGACCTGGCTATCCAGCACCGATGATGGAAATGTTCCATGTCTGCACCGTCTGGTGCATTAGCCATTAGCCACACGTGACTACCGAGAAATGTGGTGACTAAAACTGAGGAGCTGTGTTTTACATTTTAATTTTAATGTAAATAGCCACATATGCAGGTGGCTTTGGCCTGGACAGCACAGGGCCAAGGGCACCCTTGGAGTTTCCCAGGGGCCAAGGGGAGGTGGCGCTCACCTGGGGGCTCTGGCTCTGGGCTGGACACGTCCTCACGGGCCACCCTGGCTGGGAGCTGGAAGGCGTCCAGAGGTGTTTGGCCGCCCTCGGCTTGGCTGAGGTCAAGACAGATGGGGGTCAGGGGCTCTGGGCCCCCCAGCCTCTGCTGAGGCCACTCGCGGCAGCAAGTGTAGCTCCCCGAGTCTGTGGATACAGACTCCCCCAACACGGTGAATGTAGAGCCCCCATCCTGAGGCACTTAGGGCTCATCAGCAGGCCCCCCAACTTCAAGTTGGCTTCTAGCCCAATTTGGCGCTGTCTTGCAAGGACAGGCCTGTGCAGCCAGTGGCCTCCTGGATGTCACCACCCAAGGGTTCCCTGGGCACCCCATACTCTCTGACCTCAGCATCTTCCTTCCAAACTGCTGCTTTTCACAGGGGCCCAAATCTAGGGCCAGCAAACACCCTCTAGCAGCAGATGGCTGCCTCCCCTCCTCCGCTGGTATTGCCTGGCATTTCCCAGGACCCATCCCAGCCTCCTCCTTGGTCTTCCAGGCCCCGTTTTGTCCTTTATTCGAACAGAAAGGTTGTCCCAAAAAGGTTCGATTGTAACCCTGTCTAGCTTTAAACCCTGCCATGGCTCCCCAGTGCCCCAGAGTCAAGTCCAGCCCCTCGACCTGGGCCTGAAGCCACTTCAGACCTGCCTTCCTAAAAGATATTGTCACCACCTACCCACTCTTCTCTGCCTTCTGCAAGCAAGGCCATGCCGCCTCCTGGCTTGTCCTCTCATTGTCCCCTCTTTCCCAGCTTGTCCTCTCCCAGAAGCCCCCCTGAAAAGCCCCCACCCCAAGGGCTCTGAGCCCCCTGTGGGGCAGGTTGGCACAAACCTCACCTGAGCACGTGGCTGACCCACAGCACGTGGCGCTCCCCAGGGCTCTTCCCGCTCACAGCCACAGTGGCCACGGACTGCAGCCACACGAAGCCCCCGGCCCGCTGCAGCCAGCGGTAGTACCCGGTCATCACCTGACCCTTGTCCAGCACTGGGCCCAGCCCAGGGACAGGGAGAGACAGGCAGAAAGGGGGAGAGAGAGGAAGGCGGGTGGACAGGGAGACAGGGAGAGAGGGCGAGGGGGAGACAGGAGCAGAAAGGGTGAGGTTGGGGCGGGGAGAGGCACAAAAGGACACGGTGACAGAGAGCGAGTCAGAAGGGCCGAGAGGTACCCAGCAGCCAGGCCCGCTGGGCTTCTAAGGGCGGGTCAGAGAGCCCCGCAGCCCTCCTGCCACCACCCCCCGGCTGCCTTTCCCGGGCTGGGTTGAGCCCCTGGAGGTGCCCACAGGAGGGCCTGTGGTCAGTCCCAGAGAAGGGCTTTAGGGGCAAGGCTTTGGGAGTGCACGGGTCTGGGGTGCTGGTGGGGAGGGGCGGGGTTCTCACGGTCCAGGTGGCTTTGGCGAATCCTGGCTGCATCCTGTCCGTGGACAAACTGGTAGCAGCTGCGGCCCACTAGCTCAGAGGGCCCCAGGTCCATGTGGTCACTGACTCTGAGGACAGGGGGCGACAGAGGACAGGGGTCAGACATCTCCTCCTCCAGGAAGCCCTCCCTGACCCCCAGGCAGGGAGAAGGGGTCCGAGGCCATGGGGTCAGGGAAGAGGGGCAGGGTTGGCTAGAATCAACCAGGATTCAAACCCTTGCTCTGGGCCTCAGTTATTTCTTCTTTAAAATGGGTATAATAATAGCGTCCCTCCTAGGGTGGCTTTGGGCACTCAAGCAGGTGGCAGTCTGGGGCTGCTCAGAGCATTGGGACTATTTCAATATTTAATTTTTCTCCGCTGCCAGGTGTAGGAGAGAGTGCATGAGAGATGAAGCCAAGGGAGACATGGGGTCGGGGTGGGGGGACACAGCTCTGCAGAAGGGGGCCCAGAAGGGAGGGTGTGTGCCCGATTGAGTGGGGTCCCTCCCCCATCCCCAGGCCCCTCCCTAGCCTCCGGCCTTCACTCTCTCCTTCGGACCACCTGGGCCTCTCCATTGCTCTTCCACCTCCTGTGGCTCCCCAGTGCCCCAGCCCACAGACCCAGTGCCCTCTGACTTCCTGTAACCCCCAGCTCTTCTGTGCGGCCTCCTCTGCCTGCCTCAGCCCCAACCCCGGTACCTGCTCTCACAAGCAAGGATGGTGAGACCCAGGCTGAGGCGGAAGACGATCATGTGTCCCTGCAGTGGCAGCTCAGCCAGTGGGGCCGGGGGCAACGTGTGGGCGAGGGCCACAAGGCCCAGGGCACGGGCCCGAAGGCGACCGGTCACATGGATGACCTGCAGGTGGTGGGCATGGCTGGAGGAGGGGCAAGGTGGGGCCAGGGGCCAGGAGGCCGATAACCAGGCACCGCCCCTGGCCTGGCTCTGGCTGTCAACCGTAGGCTTGGGCCCAGGGACAGAGCTGGCAGGAATGCAGGTGGACAAGGGGATGCAGGAATCAGAAACTGGGATCAGAGAGCTCACACCCACCTTGTACCCTGAAGCCTTGACATGCAGCCCCCTCTTGGTGAGGGTGGATTTCATGCGGATGAAGAAGGAACGCTCCTGGACCCTGGAGGGGGGCCCCACGGTGGGGCTGGCTTCTGGGGCAGAGAGTGGAGGAAGGTTATGGGGTCCTGAGGAGAAACACACAGGCCACCCCTGCCCCCTGCAGAGCTAGCCAGACACAAGGTCATGGCCACACACACTCAGAGACACACCTAAAGGTTCTAAAAGCTCACTGACCTTGTACCCCAACCCCTCCTCCGAGCGGCAGCCAGCTGGGTCTTTCTGAAGTTCAGATCTGACCCTGCCCTGACCCTGTCCTGACCCTGCCGTGACTTTCCAAGACCCTTGGGAGAAAGCCCAGCTCCTCACTGTGGCCTAAAACTTTGGCAAGAACTTCCTCCTGCTGATACCAGCTCTAGCTACAACCTTCAGGTCTCCAGTCAGACATCTCCTCCTCCAGGAAGCCCTCCCTGACCCCCAGGCTGGGTCAGCCACCCCTCTGGGGTCTCCCAGTCCAGTCCACTCTGGACCATCACTGTCTGGGGAGGGTGCAGTGAGGGCAGTTGTCACTGTGTCCCCAGCCCTGCTGAGCATGGGGTTGGGCACAGAACAGATGCTCAGGGTATAGCCACAAATAAGACTCACAAATAGATTATTTTATCAACCCCATGATACAGTCTTATAAATATGCTCACACCCAGATGACCCTGAGCTTCAAACTTAGATGCAAACATAATCACACTTCGAGCAGTCCCACGCGTGTCACAGACATCTCCCAAGCTGGCAAGTATTGCTGATGGCACAGACGGGTTTGGTATTTCACCTCATAGTTCCCCGACATCTCAGAGCTGAAGGGAACTCTCAGAGTAATCTCCAACACCCTCCTTCACCAACACGGAGTGGAGTTTTCCACTGGAGGGAAGTGTCACAAGCACAGACTCTGGAGCCCGACAAACCCAGGCTGGAGTCCAGCTTCCGTGTAGAGCTGTGTGTCCTGGGGGAATGAACTTAACCTCTCTGTGCTGTACTTTAGCTTCCTCCTCTGTATGATGGAGAGAGTAATAGTTCCTACTTTGTGGACTTGGGGCTAGGATTCAATGAAATTATGTACATAAAGGCACTGGCACATGTAAAACCCAATAAGCATGGGTTGTTATTTACTAAAGCCTCGTTCCACTTGTCACACACAGGCATCTGCCTCCACTCAGCAGCCAGAAGGGTCTTGCTAAAGCACGAATTTTGAGAAGCCAGGTAATCTTAGGGAGCTCAGGCAATTGTAGGGAGCCAAGTCTCCGTGTCATAACTTAGAAGGATTAACTTTACCAAAACTAGCTTTGCACAACTCTAGCAAGAGCGGTTTCTGTATAAACGCAACAGTTGGATACAGGGTACTTGGTGTGCCCCGATCTACCCTCAGGCCTTCTTTGGGCCTTTCGAAATTACCGATCTCAGAAGCATCCGCAAACGAAGAGGAAGATGAGGAGGAGGAGGACGAGGAGGGGACGGAAGGCGAGGTGGGGGGGCCGGGGGTCGTGGCCCGCAGCCCTAGTTGCTCCAGCACCTCGGAGTGGTCCCCGGGGTGGATGTAGTCGAAGACGCTGCTGCCCGTCAGCTCCACCTGCCGGAGAAAGAGGGAAATGCAGGGGGCGAGCGCGCTCAGTCACTGGCTCGCGCGTTCCGCCTCAGGCTCACACGCCTACAAGCAGGTGCACTTCACGCCGGTCTTGAATTTTTATTAGAAAAAATTGTTAACCTTTTTAAAAGGAGGATATACACTTAAGCTCTTACCGAGTTCTCTCACTTCAAACCTAGTGAATCATTAAGGATTTTCTGCCCCTGCCTACTCTGTGAAGACGCTGTGCAGTGGGTTGGGGTGGGGGTGTCATAGCCTCTGCCTCCCCGGCTTTTGCTTACTCATCACCTCCCTGAAATGAATTACAGGATTGGAAACCAGGACGCAAGCAGTGGGATAGTTTTTGAACTCTTTTTAAAGAGGTAGAACCTTTTAATCAGACAGACTTTTACACTCAATTTGCCCCCCAAATCTCTCCAGCAGTACGGTTCTCTCCCCACCTCCCCCGGTCTAGGCCCCCGTCTTCTCCTGGCTGTGCTCCTGCCCCAACATCCTTACTGGTCTTCTGGCCTTCAGTCCCCACTTAAATATCCCCCCAGAAGCTACTCACCCAACCGTTGCCCTTCTCCCCTCAGAACCGCCCATGGCTCCCACTGCCCCTGGGCTTGCGGGGTCACATGCTTCCCTCTCTCCCTCACCCCTCCCCTCTGAGCTCCTCTCCTTCCTTAAGCCTCCCCGGACACCAGCTTCAAGCTTTTCCTCCATTCTTCCTCCTCCTCTTACTCTTGCATGTATTCCCCTCCCTTCAGGATCTTCCTCCCCCAGGAGTGTCCAACGACTCCCTGAAAAGCTGCTCACAAAGGCCAAATGCACCAGCACTGAATTTTTAAAATTCACCATTTATCAAAATCTTTGTAAAAGTGATAAAAGTAGATAACAATTTGTAGTGAACGGATTGGCAAGGCCTAAAATGCCACAAGGAGCCAGGACTCGAGAGATGGGGTTTTCAGTTTTCCCCTGCATTTCTTTAACCTTCCAGCTGCTAGCTACAGGAGCTGTGGCAGGAGCAGTGGGCCGAAATAACGTCAAAACACAGGCCTGTGAACTAAAACGCCACAGAAAATCCTCCAAAGCTGGCAAAACCCAAGCCCTTCCCATATGAATTGCTATAATCCTTTAAAGTTGTTAATAAGAAACAGGCTTTGATAAATGTGGTGCACTTGGCAACCACTCATTGGCAAACTGATCTTTCTGCTAATTTGCTTTCTTCAAACTGACCTGTTACTTTCATAACCCTTCTCTGCCTGCAAGGAGGAGCCATGTTTGGTGCCATGAGGGGGTTCTAAGGAACACACTTTGGGAACCACAGACCCAGCCTGTTTTTCATGCTGGGTTGGTGAGGCCAGGAGAGAGAAAGGGCATGCATGGGCCAGCAAGAGAACTGAGCCAGTCCAGGCAGCCTGCTGCGGGTCTCTTACCTGTGAGAGACCCAGATAAATGGAGACCGTCTCTGAGATGTAGAGGAACTTCCCTTCCTGGTTCAAGGCAAACACAAAGCCATCCAGGGACTAGAGTGGGGAGAGACAGGGATGGGAGGAGAGGAGAGCCTAGCATCTTTCTGTCCAGCCGGCAGGTGGTAATTGGTTCTGAAATCTGGATCCCCACCTAGGATGGATTATTCCGGGGGGAGGGACTTCGGTGGACATCAGAAGGGGCGGGCAGGAAGGGGGCCTGCCCCCCTGCCCAGCATCATTCCTCCTCGCAGTCCTGGGATGGATGCAGAGGAAAGAGTGCTGTTCTCAGAGGTGGCCACCAGGTGGCGGCAGGGAGCAGCAGGAATGGAAGGGGTCTCACCTGTAGGATGTGTCCTCCCAGGTGCTGCTCGAAGACTTCTGAGATCAGCGCCATGGGGCCCCTGCGGCCTGGGGCTGGAGGCAGAGGGAGGGGTGAGGCCGAGGCCTGTTGGTCTGACTGACCCCTGGCCTTTTGCATAGGCCCCCAGGGAGCCAGGCTACCGATTTCCCTTTCTTCTCCCCAGTCCTGTAGCCATCCTGGGGTAGTGGGAGCCCAGGGCCCTGTGGGAGAATGATCTAGGGTGTGTGAAGAGGCAAGAGGGATTGAAGTGTTTGGGACAGACGGAAAGACTTAAGACACACAGAGGCAGAGAGACACCAAGGTATGCAAAAGGGAATTTATTCACTCATTCATGCATGCATTCATTCATTCATTTAACAAACTCCCTGAACACCATCTGTGCACAAGGCCCCTTGCTGGGGACACAGATGTGACCCTGACAGCCTGGCTCTGGCCTCATGAGGCATCATTCAGCCCACAGGCAGATAAACAAGCAAGAAACTAATGAATATAGAAAAATCATCATTTGTGGCCAGTGCTGTAAAGAACTGAATAGGTGGTGTGAAATCAAGAAGACGAGGGTAAGGCTTGTTGAAGGAGGGGGCATTTGAGCTCAGACATGAAGGATGAGAAGGAGGAGACTGAAAAGGGAGAGGGGCAGATAGAAAGAGAAACAGAAAGAGAGACAGACATATTAAGGGACAAATACACAGACAAATAGATGGACAGAGATACACAAAGAGCTATGAAGGGATAGAAATAGAGATAAGGACATTACAACTCAATGACAAAAGTCAAATGACCCAATTAAAAAGTGGGTAAAGGACACGAATAGACATTTCTCCAAAGAAGACATACATGTGACCAATAAACATATGAAAAGATTCTCAGCAGAATTAGTCATTAGCAAAATGCAAATCAAAACCACAATGAGTTATCCCTTCCCACCCACCGGATGGCTAGAACTAAACAAACAAACAAAGAAAACAGAAAATAAGTGTTGGCGAGGATGTGGGGAAGTGGGAACCCCTGTGCGTGGCTGGGGGGAATGCAAATGATGCAGCTGCCATAGAAAACAGTTTAGCAGCTCCACAATGAGTTTAACAGAATTATCATGTGATTCAGCAATTCCACTCCTAGGTGTTTACCCCAGAGTTGGAAACAGGTTCTCTAACAAATACTTGTACATAAGTGTCCATGGTAGCATTATTGCTAGTAGCCAAAACGTGGAAACAGTCCAAATGTCCAATAATTGATGAATGGAGAAACAAAATGTACTATGTTCATAGCATGGAATATTATTCAGCCATAACAAAGGAACACATGCTACAATATATGAATGAATTTTGAAAACATTATGCTGAGGGAAAGAAGCCAGATATAAATGTAGGATTCCATTTATACGAAATGTCCAGAAGAGGCATACAGACAGAAAGCGGACTGGCAGCTGCCAGAAGCTGGGCAGAGGAAGGAGGCAAGAGGGGGTGTCTGCTGGTGGGTTTCAGAGTTTTTGGGGGGCGATGGAAATGTTTTCAACTAGGTAGACGTGATGGTTGCACAACATTGTGAATGTAGTAAGTGATGCTGAATTGTACACTTTAAATTGGTGAATTTTAATGGTGTTCTATAAATTTTACCTCAATAATTTTTTTTTAAGAGATAGAGACAGAAACATATATGGACACAGAGAAATTGAGACAGAGAGAGACAAAGAGACATAAATAGATGGAGAGACAGAAGCAGAGAGCCCAGTCCCCGACTCGGCACCTATAGGCAGGAGCAGGGTGACTGGGGATGGGCTGAGGTGCGGGGCACGGTCACACCTAGGATCTGCTCCCTGACGCTCCAGAGAGAAACCCTCCAAGCGCCCCATGCCCAGACTGGGGAGCCAGGGGTAGGGCTTGGTGACCTCAGTGCTGTCCCTCTTTGGCTGTGAGTCCTGGAACCAGTCCCTTCACCTCTCTGTGCCTCAGTTTCCTCCTGTCAAGTGCGTTCCTAAGAGAGCCGACCTCACAGGCTGGCTGGGCATTCAGGAGGGGTGGACCCAGCACGGGCCTGGCACGCAGCAGGTGCTCGGAGACACAGAACTGGGATCGGTATTAATCGTATGATTATTATTGTTATTTCCAGACAATCTAAACAGCAGGCGCGGAAATCACCGGTCTCCCCCGCAATCAGGAGGCGGCCCCAAGCCCGCCCCCACCCCAATGTCTAGGTCACGCCTCCTCCCAGGAGCACCCCCAGCGTCCTTCCGCTGTTCATACCCTTTTCCACCCCCACCCGAAGCTCCAGGAACAATACGGGGGGGGATTGATGGTGGACCCCTCCCCCGAGATGCAGCGCGAACCAGCCGGGTGACAAGCGGGAACAATGCCGCCTGCTAATTGTCGCAATTTTCCCCTGTCATTTTTGCTAATTTCTTCATTTTCCCTCCCGCAGGATCAGCCCAGGTCAGAGTGAACGGCTGCAATTAACAGCGTTAATGGGCACGTCGGATGGGGGGGTATGGGGAGGGCTCGCTCTGTCCCCATTCGCCGGTCCTGTTTCCTGGGACGGGCGCCCTGGGGTCTGTCCCCACCACTGGCTGGTGCGTCTTATTACCCCACCCACCAAGCCTCCTCCTCCCCAAACCCGCCAACTCCCCGGCTCCTCCCACTGTGTTCCCTCCCCTCCCCTCAAAGGCCTCCGCTCCCGCGGCCCCCGCGCTGGGCAGCTGGCGCTTCGCTACTCCGATGTCTGCCCCCCTCACACCCCAACCCCACCATTACTCATGCATTCAACAAACATTTGCTGAGTTCTTAACGGAAAACCCAGTTCTGCTAGAGAAGAAACATTGTCGGAGCCGTCATCCTCCTTACACACCCAGGGGGCTGAGGGGAGAAACCGAAGCTTCCGCCAGGCCTGGGGGCCCCCGTTTGCCCCATTCCCAGCTGCCCTCGGCGACTTGCTGACGGGGCTGCAGGATTGAGGGCATCTCTGAAGGGGAGTCGCCCGCCACAGGCAGAGTGCCTGGCTCCCGGGGGGCGGGCCTGAGGGCCTGAGGGGGCATTTCTGCCCATATTTTCCTCAGCCTCATCTGTGAGCTGGATCTAGGGGTACAGAGGAATGGGCTCATGCATGTCAGTAGCGCACAGCTGGATGCCTAGCAGGCACCTCATTCCCAAGTCCTGCTACTGTGCTTATCAGTAGTGCTACAGTGGGTACTGATTATCTAGGGCACCCCTATTCTTCTAGGTGAGTCCTTGCCCTTGATGCCTCCCTTTCTCTCACACCCACGTCCATTTTCTGCAAGTCCCCTGGCTGCACCCCACTGCAACATCTGAGTCCCACCGCCGCTCATGCCCAGCTGTGCTCTGGCCCAGGCGCCCTGCCTTCCTCCACCCTGGACTGCTGCTGGGACTCCTCACTGGGCTCCCTGCCCAGTGGCCTGCACAGGCTGGTTCCTGTCTGCCTCAGGGCCTTTGCACTGGCTGTTCCCACTGCCTGGAACATGCTTTCTTTCTTTCTTTTTTTTTTTTCTCATAGCTTGTTCCTTCACCATGTCTGTTCAGTCTCAGCTCAAAGGTCATTTTCTCAGACAGGAGCAAGTGTGAATTATGCCTAATCTGGGAATTAAGTTGTCACCCCTCTTCCACTTGCCCCATTCCAGTCACCCAGCAAATAGTTAGTGAGCCCTTATTGTGCCCCAGACACTATTCTAGGCTCAGGGAATAAGGTACCATGGGGGAGAAACACAATAAAAACATGAGAAATAAGAACCATATCATGTCAGGTGACAGTGAGTGTCTGGAAAGAAATATGGTGGGAAAGGAGGACAGGGAATACTAGGGGCAGGGAAAGGGCTGTAATTTTTAATAGAGTGGTCAGGGAAGGCCTTACTGAAAGAGCTGACATTCAGAGGGAAGGGAATTCCTGGTGGAGGGCATGGCAAGTGCAAAGGCCCTGAGGTGGGAACATGTTTCTGAAGAACAGCCAAGTGGTTAGTGTGTGTAGGGAGAGAGTTGAAGAGGTGAGAGGGATAAAAGATGAGATCAGGGACTTTGTCCTATTCTCGGCCGTGTCCCCAGCACCTAGAACAATGTCTGGTACCAGGACAGATTCAATGGGTGTGTGTTGAATGCATGATGAATGCTGATGTGGGATCAAGGCTGTCTCCTCCCCAGACTCAGAGGCTAGACCTTAACATCTGCTGTCCCATTTTACAGATTGTATGTAGACTGAGGCCCAGAGAGGGGCCAAGACCTTCAGGGTAGGACCCACCCCTGGAGACCCACAAAGATGCCACGTATATATGTGCCGTTGTGAAGGTGGGCTCTGGAGCCAGGCCACCTGAGTGCGTCCCAGCCAGGCTCCTGCCTGGCTGTGTGACACTGGGCAAACATCTTCACCTCTCGGGGCCTCAGTTTTCCACTTCTGTAGAATGGAACCCATCACACTACCTCTCTCCTAAGATTTTTAAGAGGATTAAGCCAGTGAGAGTGCATAGGCGCTCAGCACGGTGTCGGGCCTGTGTTGTGTATCATTACTGTTATTTCTAAGGAGCGCCTGGGAGCCCCTCCCCTTCAGAGTGGCAGGCGCAATGCTTTGCCGACTTCCGCTCAGACGCGGTCCTCAGTTTCCTTGTCTGAACTGTGGAAGCAGGTTCTAGGCTTCTTGCTGGGGACCCTGTAAGGCAAGAGATGCCCCCAGTTTCCTAATTTTGAGGTTAGATAGGGAGTCCAGGCGGCACACTGTCGGCTGGCCTGCAGGCCTGGGGTTGGTAGAGCCCCACGGTCTGCCGCCTCAGGGCTGTGACCTCGGCAAACTCTTTGGCCCCTTGAATTGCCCATCCAGGCAATGGGCTGGGGGGCCGCACGCCGCCGGGCTCTCTGGGCCCCCCCATCTTTCTCCCCCTGGCTCGAGAACAATAGACAAGATGTTTATCCCTCGCCCGCGCACATGTTGTTCGCGGTAATGACAGTAATCAGCGGCGCTAATGCCGCATTCTCTCGGCGCCAGTCAATTCGCCTAATTACCGCCTGGGAAGCCGGATTATTTAAATTTAAATGGTGATTTATTGCGAGTTTAATCAATGCTATTTTCTCTCCTCCCTCCTCCCCTGCGACCAGGGCAGGAGGGGAACTAGAGCCCCTGCAACCCCACCCTAAGGACACCCCGTCTTCTGATGGGGGGTACCCTGTCCCTGTCAACTGGGACTTCAGGTTAACCCGATTCACTGTCTTCTAGTAATAAGGCAATAGTACAGAAGATAAAATTAATAACATAATACTTCCATGTAGCTATCAATAATAAAGTATGAATTATAAAAGTAGATATCTATTGTGTTTTACATATTCTATATTTTTACATATTGTAGATTTAAAAAAAATTTTGTTCATGTGTCTTGGCCGCTGGGATGTCAGTCTGTCCACAGCAGGGGTTCTTACCTACTTTGTTTCCTGCTGGGTCCCGAGGGCTCAGGATAGTAACAGGCCCACAGTAGATGCTCAATCAGCCACAGGCCCCTACAACCCTGCAGGTAAGCGCTGGTCACCACAGCCACAGCTCCCCCTGAGCCAGGTAGGCCCCGGGCTCTACACACATGACACGCTTGATCCTCTTCTCAGCTCTCGGGGTGGGAGTGGGGGTTTCACCATGATTCCCACTTCACAAATGAGTCTCAGAGAGGTGAGGCCACCTCCTGTCCGGGGCTCACAGTGCTGAGTGGCCCAGCGGGGACAGGGACCCCTGTGAGTCTTTCTGAGGCTCGCGATCTTACACTGTCTCCCTCTGGCTCTCCCAAACCGGGAATTCAGGCTGCAGAGTCCTTGGGTCCCCCCCGGGGCCCCCTTCAGGTCCCAGTGCCAGAGGTTTCTTGCCCATTAGTGGATGGGACACCCAGTTGGGTTCCCGCTGTCCTACCTATGGAGCTGCAGGTCTCCTTTAATAATATGATTCATCTCCTTTATTAAAAATAATGGCATTTACTAGTGGTCTGATTGCCTGTGTTGCCAGGCCCTTAATTGGGCCAGAATTCATGAAATCGTCTACCTCGTGTGCCTGTTTTACAGATGAATAAACTGAGGCTTGTAGAGTAGAAGCCGTGAGTCCACTGGCTGAGTCCAGCCCCAGGGCTCTCTCTCCGCTAAGGAGCTGGGTGGGGGCGGGAGGGCACAGCAGATGCCTGCCCTCTGCCGCGGCCGGAGGGCGCCAAGACCCCCGCCCGCCCCCGCCCCTCCGCGCATGCGCACTCACCAAGGCCGGCAGGCGGTCCCGAGGCCCGCAGTCCCCAGGGTGGCGCCCCGAGCGCGGCGAAGCGGCGCAGGCGGAGGTAGGTGACGCTCAGCCTCACGATGGATGCCTTGTCCAGCTGGCTCGAGATGGCTCCAGGCAGCGGGAGCAGCTTGGCCAGCTCAAAGAACTCCAGGTTCTCCTTTCCGCGCCGCGAGCGCGCCGCGTTCCGAGACTTTTCCTTGCGCTGCGCCTGAAGGCTGGGCGGACAGCGCGGAGGGGGCGTCAGCGGGAGCCCGGAGCTCAGGGGGCCGGGGCCTGAGGGAAGCCTGGGCCCCCTGGCCTAGGGAACCTGACAGGACGTTGGAAATGGATTCAACACTCTGGAGGTGGGGGCAGAACCTGAATGTGAATTCCCCACCCGGACGCGGGGACAGAACCTTGGGAGTAAATAAATCCTGGGGGGAAAGAGAAGGAAGAGGGGAGAGACTAAGAATGGTGGTGTTGGATTCTGAGGAACAGAACGCGGTGCGGGGAGCTTACAGAACCGCGGCGGAACAACTCCGGGTGAGAAATTTTAGCCCCAGGAGGTGGGGCGGAAAGCGGAGTGTGAATTCTCCCGGGACACCTCTTGGGGGCGGGGCCACGGCCCGAGGGGCGGGGCTTTTCTCACCAAGGTCCCGGCTGGGCCTTGACCATGAGCCCCGGCAGAAAGTCCCACGGGACGCTGCTGCCACGACCTCCCCCGCATTTGACCTCGCTTCCGCCGCCACTGCTGGGATAGGAGGCCGCCATCTCGGCGGGGGCTCGCTCAGGAGGGCTCAGGGCAGCCTGCGGGACCCGAGGCCCGCCTCTCCCGCGACGGAAAGGAGCCAAGAGCCCCGCTCAGGGCCTGGGGGTGTCTCCGGGAGACCTGCCGGGGAAACTGAGGTCCGTTCGTTGCTCAGGGTACCAGCAAGGAGCGACAGCTGGCTGTGCCTCAGTTTCCCCTCCCAGGAGACCCCGGTGCAGAGCCCGTAGCTCTCACCCAGCCCGGCCTCTGGCAAAGCTCAGGGCGAGGACGTGCTCCGCCGCCGCCTCCCCCGCGCCGCCCGCCAGCGCGCCCGCCTCACGCCCGCGCCGGGCCGGCTCCCGCATACCAATAGGCGCACGCGGCGCGCATACGGATCCGACCGGCCCGCGCGCTGCGTGCCAAGCATGCCCAAGCCGGGCGGCTCGCCGGGGCCCAGGCACGCCCGGCTCCAGCCCCCAGAGCCTTCTGCCCCGAGGGTCCGCCCCCCAAACCCATCCCAGGAGTCCGGTTCCCCGGATCTGCGGTGTGCCTATTTCCCTGGCTGGGCCAAGGAGGTAGGGACACGGGGGCAGAGGGCAGCGGCCCCACCCCATGCTCTGTTCAGGGACCACCGCCCATCCACCCATCCCGGGCCCCTCGGGAGGGTGCCACGTGTGCGGGCCGCCACATCAACCATAAGTTCCTCCCTGAAGATTCGGGAGTGCGAGCCACAGTCCCCGACGCAGTGGCCAGAGCCTCAGCCTGGGGGCGCCTGCAGGATGGACTCGACATTCGGGGCCCAGGTGTCCTGGTATCCAGATTCCCCCAACCAAGAACGTGTTCAATTAAGTCTTAATTCCTCCGGACTGAGCTTATGAATTTCCTCCCTTTACCCCGACCCGCGTATCCAGGCCGCCCCCAAGTCTCCCCAGGCAGGTGTGCAGATGCCCTAGACCTTGGCGTCCAGTACCCAGCCCCCCATTTTTCCAGGACCCAAACACCCATGTACCCCTTCCCCCATCCTCGAGGTCCAGGCGTCCGTTTATCCTAGCTGCCAGGGCACTGGAGTGTTCCGGCCCTCTATTTCTGCAGGACCCAGGAGTTCCCCATCCCCTCGTGCCAACCACCAGCGTCCCCTACCCGCAGGACCCACAGCCTCGTTACCTGGTAGCAGGGCAGGCTCCGGGCGCGGCGTGGGGCCGGCCGGGCGGCGCAGAGGGGTGGCCCCATAGACCCGGGCAGGCCGGGCTCGATGGCTGTGGCGCTCGGTTCTCTGCGCCCACCGCGGCCTCGCAGACTTAGAGAAGCGGGGACAGCGCTGGCAGGGGCGGGGCATAGGGAGCCCCGCCCCCCCGAGTCTCCGCCCCCCCACCAACCCGGCGCCGGCCCCTCCGGCCTTTTCTGAGGTAAGGCTTCCCAGCAAGGGAGTCCTGGACTGTCCCCGTGTCCAAGTCCTCTCACCCCACGGGGGCATCGGGGGGCCTGTCACCTCCCACCAGAACGAGAACCTTGGAGTAGGAGCTTCTGCACCTCGAGGGGGCTTAGGAGTCCGGGCATTATCTACACTCCATCAGGAGGAACTGGCACCTCAGCCCCCCCCCCCGAGAGGACCTGGTGTTCCAGCAGCCCCTGGGGACAAGGCGGGCACCCTGAACCCAAGCCCCCTGTGGGAATGGAGACCCAGACGTCCTCCAGGAACGCAAATCCAGGCACTCCAGATACTCCTTTTTCAGGAGAGAACTTGAGGGTGTCAGCATGCCCTCCGACCCCGGACAAAAAAGGGGACCCCGCATCCAAGCCTATCTCCCCACCCCCTTATAAGGCCAGGATTTGGCCTCCAGACCTAACCCTTCTCAGGGACCAGGACCCAGGTATAAGAGGAACTTCATAGATCAGGATCCTGGGGTCTTAACCCCCACCCCACCCCGACCTCCTACAGGGATGGGAACCTCCACATCTGAGCTGCCCACTGGGTCATATGTGGAAACTCAACTCCACACAAAGAACGGAGACCTAGGCGTCTGAGCCAGGACGTCACCAATCTGGTAGGAGGCCCTGCATCTCTCCCACCCAGGCCCCGTCAGCAGCCTGGCACAGGGGTCTCCAAGCGTTTAAATGCTCCTAGGAAACCCTAATGAAACGAATGAAAATGGAGCAGGAGTCTAGGAGAGGCAGGCAGGCAGAGGCTGGCAGAGAGCAGGGGTGGGACAGATGGAGAAACTGAGGCACACACCTCTGACCAGTCGTGGGCACTGGCTGATGGAAATGCTCTTAAACTCTCTCACAATAACCACAGTTAACAACTAGTTACTAACTGATTACTTAGGTTCTGCCAATCCTTTCCTCCATTGCAAGTTCTGAGCTCGGCTCAATGACTAAACTCATTTTACAGCTAGGGAAACTGAGGCATAGGGACTACATAGCCTGGCGGTGATGGTCTCTGAACGAATAATATTTCCCTAATTATCCCCAGAGAGACTTGTTAGGGTGTCAGGCTTGTTAGGGATTCAGGCTCAGATCACTGGCTCCTATCTCCTGACACTACTTGCTGGTTGTATGGCCTGGCAGGTGCCATGCCAGGATTCTTAGAGATGTGCTTATACTGTGCAATTTATTTCTGATCACACCCACAGGGATCTCATCAAGGTTAGAGCCTGGGTGTTGGGGGTCAGACCCCACCTCTTCCACTTACTGCTTTATGACCAGTGAGTAACTTAACCTCTCTGGGCCTCAGTTTTTCTCCCTGGTAAAATGAGGATGATTTAATTCTAGTACACACCTCATAGCATGGTTGTGAGCATTAAATAAGTTCCTCAGCAGTGATCGAACTGTGACCTGGGGACGGGTTCCTCAGATGGTCTCAGGGGGGCCTGCCAGGTCAGATTTTCATACCAAGATGATTCCTGCCTTTTACATTTCATTCGCCTACAGGTGGCTGGTGGAGTTTTCCAGAAGCTGCATGATACATGATATCACAACAGACTGAATGTAGAGGCAGCTGTGAGGATCTAGCTGTCTTCTATTTTGCCAGACTTTACAGAGATTTGCAAAAGTATAAAAACTATGACACTCTTCTCACTAAAATGTCTTGTATTGGGAAATAGTTTTCATAAAATGTTATTTATGTTAACCTGTACTAGGTTTATTTATTGCTATTTAAAAATGAATGTTATCTTTTAAAACTCTCAGTTTTAATTTCTGATATGGCTTATAAAACAAAAATAGAAGGTCTATGGTCTCCCCTAAGAATGTGAAGAAGTCTAAAATTCCTCTTGCCTACACACCACTCACAGAGTCATGATAGACTCAACACATGCATCATTTGGGGTCTCAGTTTCCCATCTGCGAAATGGGTGAAATGAGTACTATCTGTACCCTTCTGCAGCTCTGGTGATACAGGTGGAAAGAAACAGGGTAGCTCTTTGGCCAGGATGCATATCAGCCTGGGCTCCAGGAAGAGGGAGCTGGGGCCCTCCAGCTGGGAACCGAGGAGATTCTTGACAAAGGCTGGAGGAAATCCAGGAGGTTAAAGCAGCACCCAGGGCTGGCAAAACAGTGAGCGGGTACCACCCTGAGACTGCAGCAGATGAGAATTTCATAGTCTCATATCCAACACCCCCTGCCATAGCCTAGCCTCCCAATCTCTCAAGTACCCCCAGCCTCGTGTGTCTAAAGGCACTCATTCAGTAATTCAACAAACATGTATGGAACAAATGTGTACAAAAACACATATGAAAGGATAGTCAAAATAAACAGCCCTGTACTATCAAAGATACAGTAAACAATGCTGAAAGATTACTACCAGGATGGAAAAAAAATATGCAAACTATGTAAGAAACAATGGATTGATAGACATTATAAATAAAGAGCACCTACCAATCAATAAGAAAAGGGCAGATGACTCAATATAGGTAATGAATGGGAAAAATTATTAATACCCACAAAGGCGAATCACAAAAAAAAGTGTCAGTGACAAGTGAACATATGAGGAGCTAAACCCTAACAGTAATCAGATAAATTGAAATTCAAAAGACAAGTTATCCCTCTTTGCATGTAGGCGGACTTAAAAAAACTATGATAGTCCCCACATTGAGTGAACATTTGAGGAAATGGGTCCTTTTTTAAGAAGGCAACTTGGTGTTAGCAAGGGGAGATTTATTTTGCCTCCAGAATTCTTTTACTTTTTTGAACCATGTATGTGTTAAAGTAGAATACGTAAGTAAATAATGCAGTTCATCAGTCCTAAAAAAATGTATGAATACCTATTATGCGTGGGGCTGGGGAGACATCAGTAAACAAGACAGCCAAGGGCCTTCTGTGGGGCGTGGGGGGGAGGACAAAACAAGTGAACAAACAAGTAAAATAAGATGATCTCTGCTCATACCTGAAGTGTCCTGAAGGACGAAGACTTAGAGTGTGGCAAGAGAATGACTGGAGGATACTTGGATACTTACGTTGGTGGAAGGAAGCCTTCTCTGGGAAAGCAACATTTGAGATGTGAGAAGAGTCTATAGAAAAACTGCTCCCCAGGGTGGAGGAATGGCAAGTGCAAAGGCCCTGAGGTGGGATGGAGGAACTAAGGAGAAACAAAAGGCCATGCGTTTCTGGCAGGGAGTGAGCACTGACGAGGGTGCAGGGAGGAGGTGGAGACGTGGGTGCTGCAGTGGGCGGGGACTTGGGAGGAGGGGTCTGGCTTTGGCTGGACCAAGATGAGAAGCGGTTGGTGGGTTTTAGGTTGGGGCCCGGTCTGATTCCCTTTTTAAAGACAGTTCTGGCTGCTGGGCGAAGGACTGTCAGCGGGGAGAGTAGAAGTTAGGAGCCCGGTTGAGGAGGAGGCTGGAAAAGTCCCAGCAGGAGGGGACAGCGGCACGACTGGGAGGCAGTGGAGGCGGGAGGTGGTCGAATTTTGGAGACGTTTCAAAGGCAGAGCTGACGGGATTGGCTGGCGGCCGGACGTAAAGGAGGAGCCAGGGGGACGCGGAGGTTTGGCTGGAGTGCCTGGAACGTGGATCTGCCGCTGACCGGGATGAGGCAGGACCGGTAGGAGGGGCCGGCGAGGAACCCCTCAGAGCTGAGTTGTCATTGAGACCCCCTGGGACAAACCTGTGACTGCCCGACAACCCCCACGCTTTCACTTCCAGGAAGTCCTAGCGCGTGTCCCACCTGCGTCCAGCCTGCTTTCACTCCTGCCCTTTGCAAACATGCAGCGCCCCCAGAGCCAGGCCTTGTTCAAGGCCGAGGTTCCAGAAAGCCAGGTTGTCAAGATGTCTTCCCTGGTCCTGCAGCTAACGGGGTGCTGTACTCCAGGAATGAGCTCTTTGAGAGGACAAACTGTTCAGTTCTGAGAGTGAAACAGCTTTTGTTTAAAGCACATTAAATGGATGAGGGTCACTTGTGATCTGGGTGGCCCCAGCAGGCTCCAGACTGGTCCTGCTTTTGGTTTCGATCACCTGTCCAGCGAACATTTACTGAGCACCTACTGTGTGCTAGATTCTCTTGGGGTCCAGGTGGGAAGAAACAGGCAGAGATTCCTGTTATTTGAGCTCACATCCTGGGGAGGGCTGTCAGATAACAGACAAAACAAGAAAAAGTATGTCAGATGGAACTAAGTGCTGGAGGAAAAAAATAAAAGCAGGAGTGTGTGAGTGCACACAATTTTAGGTGGGTTGGTCAAGTGCTGATAATTACTGGGAAAAATAAAGGAGTTGGGTGAATGAGAGAGGAACACCACCCACCAACTTGGTAAGTGGCCCCGCAGGTGTCATCCTGGGAGCCTGCTTTGGCCTCACTTGCTTGAGCCCACTGGGCCTCCAGTTTCCCGGTCACAATCTTGTTCTCTGCAGGCCACCCAAGGTGCCGGGAAGAACTCTTAACTTCGGGTAAGAGCTAACCTGTCACCTGTCCACGGGTGCAGAAAGAAGACAAGCCTTAGCAGAACGTGACGCTGTTACAACCCAGTGCAGTGGGAGCGCCAGCATCCTTGGGCTGGTCCCGTCCCCAAGTGACACTGTGCAAGGCCATGCTTCAGCACGAATTTGGTAGCAAGCATCAGACAAGCCAGTGCAGTCCCCTGGGAAGCACATGGTGGTCACCTTGACCCACTCACCTGGGGGACCAGCTACAGGGGTGACTGGGGGTGATGGCACGTTAGGCCCCACGGTTACACACACTTGGAGAGACGGGCGGGGATGCTCAGGGTACTTGGCTGCCTCTCTCAGCTCCAGGCTGCCCCCTCCAGATGGAAAGGAGCTCTCTCCACCACGCGGCAGAGGCCTCTGGAGAGGCACAGAGGCTGGGCACCAGCTG